TTACTTAGTTTTTACTATATTGTTATTATTTCACAGCACGTTATCAACACAAAGCTCTAATCTTCTCTCTAGAAGAGTTTGAGTCTTTCTTTCTGATTAGGTATAGTTCCATTTTCTTGTACCGTTTATTTGGATCTCTTAGCTTTATGACTTGGTTCTAGCATTTGATTTTTACTAGTCACAATATGCATGACCAGGTTCTAAATTTTAGTGGCCTTGATTTAAAATTGATAGTTGTGTAAACGATTAAAAAGAGATGACATTCTGCTTTGATTAATTTATAAATTCTAAGAAATACTACTTGTTCTTTTTATTGCCCAATTGTAACCTTTTCTTTTCATATATATATCCACTAGTGTTCCTAAAAGGGTTACATAATGTGTTTGGAAAATATAAGATGTGTGTGTGAGTTGTTATGAAGAACTCACTACAGCAAGCTTTTATGTCCAGAATCCATAAAGTGCTAGGTGTTGTTCCTAGTATATTATCTGCATGTTTCAATGCTAGTTCATTATTCTTATTAGTATGCATATCCATTTTAAGTTGATAATAACTTTTTTTTAATAGCTGCTTTGTCATCCACTTTTTAAGTAATTTTATCAAAACTAAACTTTTAATTAATTATCAAAAAATTTACTAGTGAGATTTCTTCATTAATAATTATCGTTATTTCTTATCCACTTATGTTCTTTGATAGTTTTCATCATGTTGAATTTATCAAAGCTTGAATTCGTGGCATTTGATATCTCTTGAAAAAATTACTTATTATGGGTACTCGATAATAAAATTCACTTAGTCGCGAAAGGTCTTGGTGACACTATTACACAAGGTAATGAAGCATCTAGTCAAGACAAAACGAAGACAATGATTTATCTTCGTCATCATCTAGATGAAGGATTGAAAGCTGAATATTTGATAGTGAAAGATCCACTTGAATTGTGGACTGATTTGAAAGAAAGATTATTACCTTGAGGCAACGATATTGCCAAAGGCTCGATATGAGTGGATACACTTACGATTATAAAATTTTAAGACCATAAGTGAGTATAACTCTATTGTATTTAGAATAACTTCCCAATTAAAATTATTTGGGGAAGCTATGAATAATGAAAACTTATTGGAAAAGACTCTTACCACTTTTCATGCCTCGAGTATGGTGTCACAATAGTAATACCACTAAAATAGTTTTAATTTTTTTTTTGAGTTGATCTCATGCCTTCTTATGGCTGAGCAACATAATACCATAATGATGAAAATCATGAAGCCCGTCCCATTGGGTCTGCTCCACTTTCGAAGCAAATGTTGTAGCAACACATGATAAGTCTAAAAAAAGAAAAATAATTAATAGGCCATATAAATGTACGTGAGCGTCAGTGGCGAAGGTAGGAATTTTTTCAAGGCTATTCAAATTTGGAAGAAGTCAAAAAAAAATTCCCGACAAAGGATGTTCAATATGTGTTATATATCTCTAAAACGTAATATTTTACTAATATACACAGTATAATTTTTCGACGAAGGGTGGTCAACTGACCGCCCTTGTTAGCATGTGGCTTCGCCACTGGTGAGCGTGACAATGACAAGTGATGATATATTAATGGTTATCGTGGTAGTCACTATAAACGAGAGAATAATATAGGTTCTCAAAACAATCCTTCAAGAGGCAAAGACAATAACTATCGTTGATGTGGCATGAAAGGTCATTAGAAACGTGAATGTCGCGCCCTTGAGCATTTTGTCATACTTTATCAAAACTCCATCAAAAGAAAGGCAAATAATGTTGGAGCCTTTTCTGCTAGTGCTCCAACGGAGTCACACTGAACCTTTAAGATTGATGTTGAGGTAGGTCCTTCAAATAATTATGATGATAATGCCGAGGCAAGTGTTGCTTTTAAAGATGCTATTTTTGAAGACCCCAATGAATATACTTATTTGAAAGTTGAGACTTTTGGGGATCAAAATTGAAGTTTGATCATTTTACTGGGGAATGCATATGTTGCTTTCATTTTCGTGTTTTGATTGTCTTGTTCTTCCACTTTTTTTCTATTTTCAAGTTGTACTTAAGTTGTCCTATGGTGTTGTTAGTTTTTTCGTATTTCTTGTGATGCACTTTTGTTTTCCTGAAGAAAATAAAATTCTCTAGTTTTCAGTTGGATCCAAGATGAGTAATGAAGACCTATGCCTTCTGGATAGATAGTACTACAACTCACACCATACTAGGAGAAAATAAATATTTCTCGTATTTAATTATGAAAAATGCCTATGTGAATATACTATCTTGTCGTACAAAATTAATTGAGCGCTCTGGAAGAAACACAGAAGTTCTAGTGGCATGAAAGGTCATTAGATGGTGAGATGGTACGCTGTGGCACTGATAGTGAAGTTCTAGTTGACTTGTCCATGATTCCTGTTAACAACATCGGGTGTAACACAGAAGAAAAGACTATCCAAGATGTTAAGGAGATTCCATCTCATGTGGACTTAGCTATAATAAAGACATTGAAACAAAGAATCCATATAGGTAATGCCAATTAGGGATTGGAGTCTTGTTATTGTTACACTTATATAAGGTCCAGGTAGGGATAAGTGGGATAGGTGTTACTGAGAGAACTTCTAGTTTTAAGAACCCTACATTCTTTAAAAGACGAACCACTTACCAGTAGTAAAATGGAATAGACCCAGTCACCCAAATAGGGTGAACGGTTTGATAGTGACTTCTTTCGTTTGGTAGGGTGATGAAAGGCTACTTCTATCTAGGAAACAGTCAGAAACTCGAGAGGGTCGCCTTTGGAGAAGCGTTTGCCAGTCACCCAAACAAAGCAGAATATTTGTAGCACTTGCTCCAATTAGTTTGAGTTTGAGGTTATAGTTAATTGATTGAATTAAAAAAAAAGGTGAAAACTTGCAAAGATTTGATCATCACTTATTATTATTATTATTATTTAATATTTATTAGTTGTATTATATTATTTGAGAGAATAAGTGTTTAATGTAATAATCAACTATCACCATTAGTTGTCAGATTATTAAAGTTCATCGTTGTATGTCTAATTTGACGAGCATAACACACAATACGAAATTGATGCTCGCTAGCCAAAGATAGTATAGTAAAATTATCGTCTTCATAGGATTGGATTTAAATAATGTTCTAATAATTTCTAGTTTAAACGCTATCCAGGATAATTAACACTTGATTGAAATGATTATGAACTAAAGTTAACTATTAAAATAAAAGCAAATAACGTTTGATCACAGAAAGACAAGAGTTGAGCAACACCGAATTAATCAGTGGGAAAATAAGGGTCGCGACAACATAGGTGCAAGATAGTTATTCGAAATCTAACTCTAGTTCAATTCAATCTAATGTTCTAATGATTCTCATGAATTCACTCGATGATTAGTTCAATCATATAGCCAAGACTCCTCTCTTGATTAAATCTGAACTCTACGAAGTGAACTAATAAAAAGCGTTGTGAAGGTATGCAAGAATACGTTACTGTATAAGTCTTTAAGAAAACGTCTCTCAAATATTCTCCTAACTTGATTTAATCAACAATTCAATAAGCTTTTACGATTACTTATCACTGAATTAAACCAAACAAAACAAATTTATGTGGGATTTTTTGGACCATGCCTCAGAATGTCAGGAACCTTTTGAATGGGTGGCAGCATCAGAAGACAAATAAGCACTTAAACAGATTTGGAGAACCATACCTCTGTGCATATTCTGGACTATTTGGCTAGAGAGTAATAGAGCTTGCTTTGATGGGCAGAAAGATCATATTTCTAGAATAAAAAATAAGTGTCTGCACAATCTATTTCTTTGGTGTAATAGTAATTTGGTAGATAATATTGATCATTACATGGATTTTATGGAGTTACTTAGAAAATGTTGTAATTAACTGCATGGATATTCCCAGCAGTTATGTACTCTTTTCTGGTACTATCTTTGTATTCAGTTAATAAACCTTTACCTTTTCAAAAAAAATAAAAAAAATGCAAAGATAATCACCCAAAATATTCCTCTTTCGATTAAATAATGAACAAAATTGCAATCAATTCAAAGCTCCATAAACGAATTCATGCAAATAACTAGAGTTAAAATCCACAAATATCAACCAAAACACCATATCCGTCGAACCCTAAAGTAAATTACTCCATAATCATGGAGAAAGTCATCACAATAAGAAAACATGAATTCAATCCAAACTTGGGTGTTGAGTTGAGGAAAGAATGATGAATCCTTGTGTCTTGAAGTCTCCAATGCTCTTCTAATCTTCCGTAGGTCAAAAGTCCCTTCAAAAATGTGTTTTTAGTTTATTTATACTATGTAGCGGGTCCGGACGGAACTATCCTTTCCAAGACGAAGTAGGAACACACTTTGACGAAATCACACAGGCACGACGTAGGTGCCCCTCATCCGTGGAGATATTCAGAGGCTCGTTTTTGACAGGCCAACTCCAATTGCACTGCCGCGCGGCGTCTCATGGCGCCCCATGTGGCGCGGTAGTGCAATTTTCTCAGAGTAATTTTTTTCTTCCACTTTTTGACATCCAGACTTGGTCCTCGACCCCCGATCATGATCCCGGTTCAATTCCTTGGGCTTTTACTCAGACTACAAAGCTCCACATTGTTCAATTTAACTCCAGATTATCTTTTTAACTCGTAATCCGTTCCTGTAAGGCATAAAACACATAAGAAGTGCAAATCACCATTATTTAAGCTCAAACACAAGTAAAGTGCAGTAATTATAGTGCAAAATATGGTTGAACTACGAGTTTCTAGCCTACCATCATAAATATCTACCAAGTTCACTGGAGTTAAATTGTAACAGCATTTTAAAGTTATACCTATGCCTGATAATTTCACAGGGCTTCCTATTCCAATTTCATTATAAGATTCATTTGTCTTATTACTTAACTCATTCAGTTGGAAGTGCTAAATAGAGTAGCCAGTTGGTGTCTCCTTTACTGATGATTTAGATTGACATCCTGATGATCTAGGTACCAGGCTAAACTTCAGAAGAACTTGATGTACTTAGCCGCAATTGCTGATGCCCAACCACAATCGCCCGCTATTCCAACACAAGTTAGTAGAATCAACTCTCGTAGTTTGTTTACTACTTCTGTGCAGTTTGTTTAGTGTTTGTCATGACATGCAGATGGCTCCTCATCCTGCAATGCAACAAGGAGGATTTTACATGCAGCACCCTCAGGCTGCAGCCATGAATCAACAACAGGGTATGTTTACTGCGAAGATGCCACTGCAATTTAACAGCCGCCAGCAAATGCAGGATCAGCAGCATCAACAACTGCAGCGACAGCAGCAAGGTATTCCTCAACAAACGGGTATGCAACTTGGAGGTCCCAACTCCACTCTTGGTGGTGCGAGTAATGGTAGCCAACTTTCAGCTTCAGGCACTGGGGATGCACGTGGAGGAAACAAGCAGGACAACCCTGAGGCCGAACCTTCGGGTGCTGATGGCCAAACTAGCTCGGTGACTGGTCAAGGTTCGGAGGAACCCAAGTAATGGACTTGTTAGTAGTGTCCGATATGTACTGATAGTAGGTTTAGAACTAGTGCTGTATCTTATGATTTTCATGATGTGCTTGCTTGGGTTCTTGTTAGTACTAGAAAGAGGGTTGATTTTATCTCTGTCTTAGAACAGTTAGGTAGGTTGTGTTTTCCTGGAGAGCTTTCTTGTTTCTCTTTCGAGTTAACCTCTGTTTTAGTTAGAGGAAGAAAGCTTGTTTTGTTTCCGGTCCAGTGTGTGTTCTTCTGTAATAACTTAGAATAGATAGCCTCTGTGACATCAATTCAACATGGTTTCTAGTGTTAGTTATGAATATGAGTTTTAGTCTCCTCAAAAGCTTCATAAATTGTGGCTGTTAGTCTTTTTCAGAAGCAGATTACTTGCAGGATTCAATGGAATGGGGCGTCTTCCACATTGAAGCTGATACAAAGGTTCAATTATGGTATTGGCAAAAACAAGGGATTGGATTAGAATGTGGAAATACACATTCAATCCTAAAGTTAATTAATCTTATCGATAGCTTAAACTAGTTTTGCAGCTGAGGGTTAGAAAGTTGTTTATTTGCATTTAATATATTAAGTCTATAGTTGAAGTGCATATTCAACAATTAATCCTCAACCCTGAACTGAAAGACTGAAATATGTATCAGTTTATGATTGTTTTCTTGCTGGTCTGTACATTACATGGGCATAATCATTCCGTTTCTACAATGATTTGAATTTTGAAAGAATAGACATATTGGTAATTTATTACTCCCTATGTTTCTTATCCTTCTAAAAAACTTGGATACAATATTAGCAGTGCCACTGATTATAAAAACAGACTCAACTTTCCATTACATTGGTTGGAACTATGAACTTTTGGAACTGGCTTTGGTTCAGCTTAACATAGGATCCGAGGGAAAAAGTCTTAGTTCTTTTAAATTTTTTTATGTTCTTATTATTGTCTTTTTTGCGTTGAAATTCAAATTATTTAAATCTTGACAACAATGTTTTATTGAATAATTACTGTATATAAAGTATAAAGTTCCAATTATAGGCTCTTTTGTGTAACTTTAAAATTAATCAATGTCATTATCATGGTATGTGATATATTCATCTCTTATTTCACTTTAAAGAATTAAACAAGTAACCCCGGACTAACTTAGAAAGAAAGATGTTTAATCTTTTTTCTTCTAGACTGACAAGACAAAAGTTTTAAGGTTAAAAAGTAAAGTAAATTTAAATTCATAAAAATGACAAAAGTTATGAAATACTAATAATGTTACTTTCATGGTGTCAAGTACTTTCATGGGGTCAAATACAGTCAAACTTCTCTATAACAATCATTGTTTATAACAACATTTCAATATAATGGCTAAGCTTATTTTGGAATATATTTTCACGTTATCTTATATTATATGTTCTCTATAGCATTTCTTTATAGCTATCAAAATATCACATATGTCGGAACAAACAACATTGTATAGAGAAGCTTGACTGTATAATCATTTAAAATAAAAATATTGTATAAATTGAAATGAAGAAGCACTGTTCTATTGTCAATTTGGTCTGGACCACATGGTTTTTTTTTTTTGGTGAAAAAGATAGTTATATATATTATAGCTAAGCTCGTAGAAGAGAGTCGTTTACAAGATGCATCACAGACATCATATTTACATTAGTAGTAGTTGGTACTAAGGTCCCTGTATAGGAACCAATACTAGAAACTAAACTAGAACTAGGGCACACATTACTATAGTTACCTAGTACAGTACTAGTAGAAGAGTTAGTATTACACAAAACTGACTGACGTTTAATCATCCTTCGTCTAAGCATCCCTGCTTGATCTTGTTCATGTAAAGTTGAAGCAAAAGGTGGTGGACTTTCAAAAATGAGACAGACCTCCTTTGCATGCAGAGCTCCATAGTTGGCCAAACAGTCTGCCACACTATTTTGCTCCCTGTAGATGTTGTGGAGAGGGGGGCTATCCAGCTATAGGAGTAATAACCTGCAATTATTAAGGATATTAGTGTATTGTATTGTAGCGCTAGTAAACATACCTAGTAAGGCTTGTGCATCTGTCTCAATGACGAGTGGTGTGAGTTTCTTTTGCACAACAATTTTCAAGCCCATGAGCAAAGCAAGACGTTATGTCTGGATAGGTATCCCATGTATTGCTTTCCCTGCAAATCCTACGATCCAATCTCCTAGGTGATTATGGAAAATACCACTAATACCATAGGTATTTTGTTGGAATGAGCAAGAACCATCAATGTTAAGCTTGTAAACGGATTTGTTTGGGGGGTGCCATTTGATATAAAGAGGTATTAGAGTGTGAGTTTTTGATGTTGGGTTTGTGAGGTAATAAAATTCCGCAGCGTTTTTTTAGAATAATAGCTATATTTAAAAGAGTTTTCTTATGATCTAATGTATTTTTATTACGAATAAGCCAAAGCTCCCATAAAGCAAAAGGTATAAGGGCGATGTTGGGGAGTGTATAATGTTTGTATGTTGATTGCTGATGTATAAAATGGTGTAACCAAGTTATAGTAGCATTGTGAAATAGAAGCGAGTTTGCATTAATGGTTGACCTCTTAAGCTTTGCCCACAGTTGTACAACAATATGACATTCTAGGAAGAGATGTTGTAATGTTTCAGGAGCCATATGGCACTGTGAACAAATGGTGGAATTAAGAATACCTAGTCGTGTGAGATATGCATTTGTTCGAAGGCGATCATGACAAAGTAACCATAAAAAGAAAGAAACTTTCGGAGGAATATGCAAGTGCCAGATCCATTTAAAATCATAAGTAGGATCAGTAGTTGTAGGAGTTTTATTATTGATGATAGCATTATACATTAATTTGACTGAAAATATGCCATTATGTGTGAGAGCCCAAAATATTTGATCACAACTATAGAGGCAAAGGGCATATAAATATCAGTGATGGCATTTTGTAAGTGAGGAGGTAAACAAATAGGTAACGTATTGAAATGCCATTGATGATTGTAATAGTAGTGTGAAACTATTTTGGTATCCTCATATTGTGAAAGGGGTCCATATATGCAATTACGAATTAAAGTATTCTGACTAATCCACGGATCATTCCAGAATTTGACATGATGTCCCGAGGTTAGGTTCCATTTATATCCTAAACCACAGTATGACCAACCTTGTAGAATATTACACCAACTCATTGAAACTTGTTTTTAGTGGAATGAGAAGGTCTTTTGTAGTTATGCAGTAAAGCCTGTACCCATAGTTGATTAGGGTTCTGAAATAGCCGCCAAGCAAGGCTTGCATGTAAAGCCTGATTTTTGATAGAGAGGTTATGTATGCGTAGTCCTCTTTGAGCTAGAGGTTGTGTAATGGTAGCCTACTTTATTAAATGGAGTTTTTTATTTTGTGGAGTTGTTCCCCAAAGGAAATTACGTTGATAACGGTTGAGATAGGAAATTATGTACGAAGGAATTTTAATGTATTTCATAAGATGATTAAGAAGATGGTTTAAAGTGGAACGAATTAGAGTAGTCCTGCCTGCTTTTGATAAGAAACTGGTTTTCCATCCTGCTAATTTATTCTTAAAATTATCAAGAAGAAATTGATAATCTTGCTTAGTAGGCTTCTTAGTAAAAATGGGAAAGCCTAAGTATTTTCCAAAGTTTTTCCCTTCATTCATCTTGAAAAGTTGTAGAACAGTATCTCTTATATTAGGATAACAACTATTGGAAATGAAAATTTTAGATTTTTCAAAATTTATAGTTTGTCCTGAGTGGTATGTAAAGTGAGCAATGGTATTAACAATGAATTGACATGACTTATCATTTATTTTAGAAGTGAGAATAATATCATCAGCAAAGAATAAATGGGATAACTGAGGCCCCTTATTCCCCATTGAGATTGGAATCCAATTATGATAATCCACTGATGCATTTATTTTCTTGAAAGCATTTTCAAGCATAGAATAAATAAGTAAGGTGATAAAGGATCTCCTTGTCGGATACGCCTCGTTGGTGTGAAGTATTCAGTAAGGTTGCCACTTATTAAAATAGAGTTTGTACTAGTTGTTATACAAGACATAATGAGTTGGATAAAAAAGGGTGGGAAATTAAGGGTGAGTAAGGTATTATAAATAAACGACCACTCTAATTTATCAAAAGCTTTTTCTAGGTCCAGTTTCAAGAGCATGTTTAATTACCCTTCATCTTTTTAAAATTGGTAATCAATTCTTGTACAATGATAACATTATCAGCTGCTCTTTTATTTTTCTGGAAACTCGATTGAGTTGGATGAATAATATCTCCAAAATAGGTTTTAGTCTATTTACAATAACCTTTGTAACAATTTTATAGATCGTATTACAAAGGCTAATAGATCGGAAATGTGATATTGTAGATGCTGTTTTATGCTTAGTATTAAACAAATGAAGGTTGTGTTGATAGCAGAATCAATCTTGTGTTCGTAAAAAACTTTGTGACAAAAGTTTTTAACAGAGTTACCAATTATGTGCCAATAGTTTTGATAAAATAGTGGATGAAGTTCATCTGGTCTTGGTGCTTTTAGAGGTTTAAAGGAATTAATAGCATTGATAATTTCACAGTCTTGCAAAGGATTAGTTAAAGCTGCTTGATCAATGATTGTTAAAATATTGCAAGGTTGTAAATGATTACTTGTGGTAGAACTGACTTGTTGTGTAGTAAAAAGATGTTGATAATAATAAGTAATATGATCCCTAAGTAATATGATCCCTAATATAATAAGGATTTGTAATCCAATTTCCCCCTTGGTCTTGAAGGGTAGTAATACGATTATGTCTTCTACGATTTAAAGTGCTAAGTTGGAAAAACTTTGTATTTGCGTCTCCATCATTTAACCAATCAATACGAGACTTTAATTTCCAAAATCCTCCTCAAGTCTAAGGATTTTATTAAATTCCATATTTAAAGTATATTCCAGATTATAAAAAAATACTAGTTGGGTAATGTATAGAGGATTGAATACGGTGAAATAAATTACCAAAAGCAGATTTATTCCACTCTTGTACTGTAGTAGTAAAATTACTAATGGCAGGTAGCAAATATACATTTTCAAGCCATGCTTGTTGAACTACAGTTGTAAACGTAGGGTGTGTAGTCCAAATAGTTTCAAACCTAAAGATTTTTTTACGAGGTAAAGGACTGTGTTGAAGTTCTAATTTTATAGGACAATGGTCTGAATGTGTGCGAGTAAGATATGTAACTAGTGCATCAGGGTATTGTTTAAGCCAATCATAATTAGCCGTAATACGATCAATACGTTCAAGCATATTATAGCTATTATGCCTACCATTTGTTCAGGTATAACGACCGCCTTTGTATCCTAAAT